TTTTTGCGATATTAAAAATCGCGAAATAAAGGACTAGATTTGACAATTTCAATTCAAACTATTTTAATTTATTTCAGTTCTCTCAAATTATTGCACCTACTTTTCTGCGTCGCACTTTTGCTTTTATTGCCTTCCTTACTTTTACTTCACTATTTTTGAGTACAATATTGAATAAACCCGCTTGTCTGTACTGACCAACAAACAAACGATTTTATGTTATCTAAGTGGCGATTTGTAATTATACTGAACTCTTTCTAGCAAACATGATTTCTTGCATATTCAAGAATCATTTTAAAAATCCGCTGTTAAAAGACGCATTTTACCTTTACATCATAGCATATCCTCTTCAAATATTCGTTTGATATTTACCACAAATACTTCGGATTATCCAGCACATTGGACGGCAATAAAATCCTTTAGAAAATCATCCGGCTTTTCGAACAAAAAAAAACAGTGTTTTCTTTGTGACGACCATCATTGCTGCTCTTAGTGTCGTATTATTATTCGAGTGATAATTAAGACAAATATTATTTTCGTAATTTTTAATTTTCTTAATTTAACCTGGCTGTTAGGCGAAGAGATCCAGCCAGAATCCCAGTCTTAAAAAACATAAAAAGGTCTGACAACCTGCCTTTATTCTGGATTATTGGGAAGTCATTGACTGAGACTATTTATTTGCTTTTTATTGTACCTATGGTACTTTGGGTTCAACTCGTTCAATATGGGTACATTTCACTCTTATCCACCTGTCACTGAATTGAATATTCACCTTGAAAAAAATCATATGATCCAAAGTAACGTTTTCCGTATATTAAGAACTTAGCTGAGCTAGAGATTGAACATATTCTCTGTAGCGAAAAATATTTAACGTAAAAAACCCCCTGATGACTCACCTAAAATTTATCAGCAACGGAAAACGCTAGAACCTCATTTGCACCTTATCAAATGGTAAATTGTTTATTAAAAGCCATTTACTTACGGTAACATTCCTGTCGCATCTTTCCATTACTCTATGGTTTTCTTCTGCTTCAGGCGAGACCAAAATGTTTATCAAACCCCACAGAAAGTACACTTTCAACTTATTTTGCGAACGAAACTTTCTCCGAAACGAAATATCACGCCGCTCGAATTACACACCGCAAAGAAATGAGATCAATTCATAGGATATATGGAACGAATTTAAGGTATTAAAGTATTGCGCTAGACAAAAAAACCCGTTTGGCCGACTTTGGACTAAAACGGTTTGTTTATATTATTGCTTGAATCAGCAAAACATCTCAATATATATTTTTAGCACAATTTAATAAATATTTGGGCATTTATTTTCAGTGTTAATTCCACGCGCTTCCTGCAACATTCCGAAGGGCCCTTTAAAAATAGACCATAAAAAGAAAAATAGGTTTTCCAATATTTATGGCATTTTATCAATTTACCCCACTTAACACATAGCAAGGAAAAGCCGAAAACAAAGCCACAAAATATATTTTTCCTATTAAAAGACAGCGAAACCGTCTCGTTTAAACGTAGTTTCGCCCATAACAAATTGCTGGATCTCCGACGATATTTTGAGTAACAAATCACCCCAGAGAAAACTTATTGTCTCTCCTGATAGCACTACCTGTAGCTAATGTTAGTAAATAGGTAGTCTTCAATTGCTCTAAGTGGCCATTTACAACTTTGGTACTTTTAGTGGAAACGACAAACTGTTGGAATGTGGGGCGATAAATGCCCTAAAGTTTTAGTGAAACTCGAATAAAGGCCCAAATAAATTTAACTGGTTTACTGACTTGCATTAGGAACAGTCGATCAAGGAAAATTTGTATAGATAAAAATAGGCAATCTTCATCGAACCCGCGTTTCTAGTGGCATTTGTGTTGATTGGAACGCGTAAACTAGTAAAGTGTTCCGGATGGCATTAACGAAACGGTAATGCTTAAACAGGCGATTATTGCAATATATTTAACAAATCAAAATTTGAACAGTTGTAAATATTACATCGAAGCACAAACAGTCTTGCGGTATATTCAAGAATTTCAAAAAATGCTCAAATACTTATTGGACCCACCAAAAATCGATATATCTTGGAATTTGCTGGTAGTAAATACTGATCGTCCTCTTAGGCAGGAATCAAGGTAGTTTTCGAGTCTTTAGTAACCAATTGGACCAAGCTTCCGGAAGTGGGACGATCGTCTCCTTTCGCCCACTTCACAAATAAATCGGCCACGTATTCCAAGGGGGTCCAAGTGGAAAAATCAGCATTGGGCATCCACTTTCGGTTCATTGGCGTATCTAAAGTGATGGGCAGAATGGCCAACACAGTGCTGTTGGAAGGTAAACCGCTGTCTTTACCGGCCAGAGATTTGGTAAGATGATGAACAGCAGCTTTGGCCATTCCTTTGGTCCGAGGGGAAGAATATTTATGACAACTCTACAAGTTGGAGAATCTCTTACCATATCCAATCATTCCTGGGGTGGCTTCTAGAGCAGCTTTAGCGCCAGTCAATTGCAAAACCCCTCCTTCTCTAAGATATTTGGACGCCAAAGTTGAAGCGATGACGCTGCTGCACACACTTTGAGTCCACATCAGTTCTGAGCTTTTGGCAAGGTCTTTAGAAGAGTTTCCTCCAGCCCAACCACCTTTAAAGTGATTTCAAGGTAGACAAGAATCCATAAACTTTAGCAAATTTTAGAAAGGATGACATATTTTTCATAAATAAAAATTATGACACGACTCGAAAAAAAACTAAATTCAAAAAATGAAGAGGTGGGTATAACGGGTATAAATATTAAATAATATTTAAATATTATTTGATCAAATTTCCCAGTTCACCGTGCTGGAGTTTGCATTAAAATGTTTCACTTCCGAAGTATTTGAAGCTCATGCCAATAATTCGCTCCCTCTAGTCGAGAGCATTTCAGAAATGTGCAGAACTTTACAAATGTTACAGTACTAATTCTGCCCTCTCTATCGCTATGCAGCCTGTGACGGGCAACGCATTAATGGTAATTAATTAAATTTAACAATATACCTTGTGTATATAAGGAACACATTCATTTGATTTCGGAATCAATTTCTTTTGAATCTCAAACAAAATGTTACTTGCGATAATATCGGTCCCAAGTATCAACAAAACTTTTCAATTCTTTTTTTTTTCTGCCCTGCGGAAAGAATTGTATATTTAAATTACTATTTCTTTGGTTGTGAAAAACACATTTATCTCGATAAATGTGTTGCTGCTAAAACAAATATAAATTCTATGTATTTATACAGGTCACACCTGAACCAAGGCGCCAATATTTGCACCTTGATGTTATCTGAACTGTAAAAATGTATCTATTCCTCGTCTATAAAAATAAAATTTTGCAAAGATAAAATAATCATAACAATAATAAACGTATTTATAGTGTGAAGGTGCAATCACCCAAGTTCTACAATAAGTCGAAGTTTTGTTTCTTGCAGCCAGAAAGGACCGCTAATAGTTTCCTTTTACCAGTAAAAGTAGTCTGAGTTAATTAAATAACAGTTTGCCTATAAAACTAGACATTTTTATTTTACAATTAATGCGTTTTTTCAAGCCTCAATTGCTTAAAAGAATGTTTCAAACCAAAACTTGGCTAGAGAGTTTAACCTTAAATTAGTGAGGACACGCAACGAAACTTATGCTACATAGACGGTCGTTAAAGCTATGTATTTATTAACCATTCACCCATTTGCCGGTTTGGGTTAGTTAATGATACTAAAAGTATTTACCACTTTATTTTTTACTTTCACTCAATTGAAAGCAGTTTCATAAAAAAACTAAAAAGCAAAATTTAATTGTCATTGAGCATGGAGGTAGAGAATCAACACAAAACAGCAGACAGTTTCAATTGATAACAAATCTACACTAAGGCTAATAAGCCAATAAATAATGAATAAAATTGGTATATTTTGTCAAGGTGGTCGGTCGAAAATATGTCCATGAAAGAACGTACTCTCTCAAAACAGACTCAACGTTCGATTAGCGGTAGAAGAAAAGCCCCATTCTAGCACCGGAAAGTTAATCACGTATCTAAAATTTCTATTTCCGAGGTAGATAAGAATTTAATATTAGTAAAGGGTAATCTTTATAAAATACATCTGGTGCAAGAGCTAAATAAAGATAATCCAGCGGGCCGCCTAGTTGCAAATATTGCATTCTATAATGAATCATTTTACATCAACGAGGTATGGGAGGAAAAATTGTTTATATTGAGCAAAAGAAAATCCGAGTAATGAAATATATAACCATTTTCTTTATGATTTTGCAATATGGACCTATGAAAAGTTGGTTTAAATAAAATCCTGATTGTGTTTTGCTTGATATTCTCCAGGCAGGTTTTTGACTTACTCTACCTACACATTGTGCAAGTAAATAAATACTAAGTACTTCGGACTACGTTAGTCAAATCCATCAATTTCACACTGTTTCTTCTTGGATTTTCAACTTTTTAAAATCATATTCCACGACGTTCTAGAGATCACATTTGTGTGATCAGCTTGTAAGACTGTGTGTTGGGGAAACAATGATTATCCTACCTGCCACGCAAAAGATCCCATCTAGCTTTTCGTCTTTCAAGATATTACCGATGGCACTGACGATGGCCGATTCTTGCTGAATAAAACTTTCACTAGTTTTCACTGTGACGCTGACGTCGGCATCGGCATTTTCCGCCAAGTCGACGCTGGCCACCCAAAAGTTTGCTGCTTTCAATTGGGCGACGCATTTAGCACCAAGAGCGCCTCTTCCTCCGTAAATCACTACACGACCAGACACCATTTTCTTTGATCTGAATACAATAAATACGTTTAATCTAAAGGTGCCTAGGCAAGCGGGTTCTGGCTGATGTCGGACTAAAAGCGAAAGTCAGTCATTATGCTAAAAACAAAGCAGTTCAAGGAATTTTGTTCATAGGAAATCCAAGACCGCAGTATATTCCAACCAACTTATAATCTACCGGGGATATCTGAAATCTATTTGAATGTATTATAGGCAGATAGGTATAAAAGGTTTACTTTTCCTCGCATATAAATTGAAAATGTTTTTCATGTTCAAATATTTTAGGTAACGGTTTATATGATGGTCACATTCTTGAATTGTCAAAAGCATCTTTGATCGAAAATTAAAATCCGATGACCAAGATGCCACCCGGTTACCCGAAATTAACTCAATAAAATTAGTATTTTATTTAATTGCTTGCTTTAATTACTAAATTGCTCAATGGCTGAAAACGCATCAAAGTGGAGAAGGTAATATTGAAAACCTAAATTAAGCGAATACGGCCAAATTATAAGTCTGTTCAGCAAACTCTTCGACTTGAATCCTACATGATTTTCATATCAAGACAGTGAGATATTTGCATTTCTCATCAATATATCATAATCAATAATTAATGAAATGCTGCAAGCTTCAGAACCGAAATAATCAACATTTCAGGACCACTTGAGCGGTCACAATCTTTAACCGACGATCTGCATTTTGGAGACGTTTGTGACTGGGAAACAATCGACTGACCTCAAAAGCACGCATGTAAAATTGTGATATTTAACCAAAAATGTCATAGCGGGTGGAGGATTTTCTCAAAAAATATTAATTTTCTCACACTGCCTCATATTCTGCATCATTTTCCATCATCAAAATGACCCGAGAAATCTTAAGAGCCCATTGAAAAACATACTAGAAGCACAGCTTAAATATCATGATGTATAAGCTGTGTTAGAAGCTTCAGATCCAACGTAATCAATATTTTTGGGACATTTTAGGAAATTTTTAAGAGTCAATCCAATCAAACAAGTTTTTGTAATAAAGTGTGATGTAATTATTAATTAAGGCTTTCGACAATTACGACGTCATCAGGGCGATCGTCAAATCACCAGCAAACATCCCCAAGAGCACCGAACAAAACATGTTAAACAATGGTCAAAAAACTGGTTAAAAACTGGTTTGTTTGTTATACCAAAATGTTGTATATGGCAAACTTACAACACACTAACTAAAGAAACCAGACTAAAGTTAAAATTAAAATTACAACAAAAACAATTAAAATAAAAATTAAAAAACTTGACTGGTCGGCGCTATCAGTACGGTGGCCAGTCTGCTAAAAAATATTCTTGTAATTGTTGGGAGGTACGATCTATAATAAATGATATGTTCCTTATTATAGAATCAAACACTTTATTTATGCATACACAGACGTTCTTCTTAGGCTGGAAACAATTAATTAAACTTAAAAAATTCACAAATTAAATATTTTTATGTTTGATCGAATATTTCATAAGAGATGGAAGTCGAATTTTTACATAAATTCTATCAAACAAAAAGCGAGGAATCAAAATAACTAACTCATTGTGAAAAGCGCGAGAACCTTCAAGTCCGAAATAATCAACATTTTTGGGCTAGTTTAAGCAATTGTGAACGGTACAGATGTTTTATAGACATCTATCATCTATCTTCTTATGATAGAATCAAACACTTTATTTGTGTATACTAAAAATTTTCTTAGGTCGAGAAAACAATCCAAAAAACACACAAGGAACATTTTACTTTTTGCCGAAAACAAAGAGTCCACCTCTTTGTTATCGCTTATCAACCTCCACGGTTGATTTTTGAAAAAATATCAATTCTCTCATCATGAATTCAATTCTACTTCATTTTTATCTCAATGAAGAGAGGAGTGTAAATTCCTCATTGACAAACACGCTAGAAGTTTCAGAGTCAAAATAATCGATACTTTCGACCAATTTTAAAGCATTTTTCAGCGGTCACGAACGAACCGGCATTAACTTCCTTATTATTGACTTTGACAAAATATTAATTCTCACAAACTGCTTTTAATTCTACATTCTTTTCATCTCAAGGAAGCGAGAAAAGCGGTAACAATATTTAACGACGACATCTTTCTTATAATAGAAACAAACTATTTATAAATACATATTGGGGAAGTTCTTAGGACGAACACAATCGATTGACTCCAAAAATTGTTAATGTTAACCGAAAGATTCATAAAGGTCCACCCTTCAGTCGATTTTTTGAAAAAATATTAATTATGTCAAACTGCTTTTAATTCTACATAATTTTCATCTCAAGGGTGACAGGAATGCAAAGAAATTATTATAAAAAACGTTAAAAGCTTCAGATCCAAAATAATCTAAATTGGTCGTCTATTTGTAGCGGTTCTTGAGAATTCACAATTTTTAATCGACGTAGATGCCTTATAAGAAGAGATTTTATTAGGTCGTAAAAAATTCATTAAGCTCAAAAAACACGCATGAAAAATTGTGATTTTTGATCGAAAATTCCATACTTTTTTATACCGACGCGACGCTTCGAATGGGAAAATCCACTTGGTAAAATATATCCAGTTGTAAAGAAATTGACTTAAAGCGCCCAATTGACCAAACATTCGAAAACGTATTAAAGTTCAAGATTCACTATCTAAGTTCTTTCATGTGTCTAACATTCAGCTGCTTAACAAACTCACTTCATTAAATACTTTTAAAATTTCTGATTATATTCAGGTTAGATAAAACTCATCTTTTTACATGCACTAAAGTGCTTGCCCTTAAAAAAAATTATCATGTAAATTACGTTCAAAATGTAACTCGGTTCAGGGGACGTAAGTGTGAAAGCAAATTAGAACAAGATAAATAAAGTGCATGGTAAAAAGGGTGCACATACACTTATGTAGATGCTCCTGAAAAACAATTATATATTGAAGTGTGTACATGTACGAATCTTCTAAAAGAAAGTCTGGAGTTGCCGATGTTTCACAAAAATTAGTATATTTCCCCCTCGGTGTGAATGGTCTCTTCAAAATGTCCAATAATTTCCATTAAAATACAAGAGCATTAAAGAAATTATAGAATTGTATTAAAAAGATCATAACAACTAAGATGGCAACATATTTGTTGTTATACCCTTGACTTGTATTTTTCATTGTATATACCTTCCTGACTGTGTTTCAATTCCAAATCAAATTCATTCCTGGGTTTCAGTCATTTATTGTCTATTTATCAACCAAATACGTTTCGGTGTATTTTTCCACCATCATCAGTTTTTATGTGTAGCGTTGTTGCTGCTTTAAGGCTTGGCATGCATTTTCTTCTTGTATTTTTCAAAAACAAAATCAACTGCAGGTTTGGACAATAAGACTTACGCGCGAAATTAAACTGTGGGATCGAAAACACACAATTGTTGATACGCCCTGGTATAAACCCTCATATCTCTTCAGTTAATTCCTTTCTATTTTTTTATTGGTTGCCTACCAGTGTTGTTAATAATAAACTTATTATACGATAACAATGTCAAGGGTGATGTAAATAGAGCAGTAAAGTATTTGGTAAACGATTTATCTAAATACTGATTTTAATTGTTAGTCAGTTCAGTTTCAGAGATGCATTTTTAACGGGATATTTACAGGCAAAGTAGAAAATAGTGATTTGAAGAACCTGCTTCAAAGAAACGATTGCTTTAGTTGACAATGCAGCGGAAAATGTGTTAATGGCATGGATGTTTCTATTATAACTTTACTGATACTTTTTCCATCAATCATTTCACATTTTGCATCAATCATTTAAATCCTAAAATAACATTTAGAAAAGCAAAGTTGAAATTCTATCAATTGTTTTTGGAACATCTTGTCATGTTATATTTCTTTGCAAATAATTTTTAAACAGTCATTATTATGCTATAAATTATGTGTGGCTGCACCATAAAGAATGCACACGCAAAAGCATCCAACCTACAGCATCCAAACCCCGCCTGATAAATGCTCTCAATTTTTTTTTGGTCTAAACCAATCTCAAAGATTTGGATACGCCAGACATTTTCAATAAGTCACTCAGTCAAAGTCGTTAAGAAAATATTTTAAAGTTGATAAGTGTTCGTCAAGTTTAATGATAATGGGTTAACTAACTAACCAATATGGTATGTGGGATAACGGTAGGTCGACAACAGAAATGGGGCTTTGGAAGGAATTTTGTGGTAAACAAGGCATGAAATCTGTTATCACCAACCGTGTGTTTAGACAAAGGCGCCATTCTTTTGAAAAATTGAACCATTTGCCAAATAATTGCTTTGACTTTCAAATAGAAATAACTTCCACCAAATGAATACTATTAACCGGATTTCCGATAGACGATGTTCAAAGGACAGAGGAGAATATTGCTCAATTCGAAGTTCAACACCTTTATAAGCTGAAAATACAAAAATGCATTTGCATTGTTCAAATACATTGCAGATAAATATGTAAATTCCAAACTGATTTACATGTTACATGCATCGAAAATATCTGAACAAAACCGACAAACATTTCTGAATATGCCACGGCAGAATCCTTTCCCTCGAAATCCCAATGTAACTGCAGATAATCTCATTATAGTTCGCTGCATGATAAGACATCCGAACGGATTCCACGCCTAGGTTAAACTTTTAGATTCAAAGAAAATCTCCAAGGAAAAACTGACATTTTCCATTTAAATTAAATGAATATAAATGAACGAAAAGCCTCCACATTTTGAAATGTCGTTTCGAAGTTGAAAATATTTTAGTTTCCCCGGTTAGTTGGAACATAATTTAGAATGCAATTTATCATCAGTGACAAATACTAATTAAATAATTTTTTACCAAGTTTAATAAAGCATTTAAAATTTTGTGACACTAAGCCAGCCAGACTTAAATGAAAATTTCCTGGGGCTGGATTTATGTAGGATAAGGCTGGATTTCTATTTACATACAATTGCTAATTTGCAGCTATCATGTTAGTCAGCACTGATTAATTAACCCTAAAAAGCCCATATATTAGCAATACATGTCTGCAAACATTTGCTTGAGTATTATCCCCGTTTGCAATATATCTACTGTACATAATATACGATGGATGATGATTGATGATCTATATATATAGAAGCAAAATAGGGAATACAGTATCAAAGCAGTAGTTTAATGTATGTCTCAATTTATAACATTGTGTAGATACAAATATGTGAAGAGCACCGAATGAACGACACAACAAAGGACTTTTAATTAATCTGTGAACAAAGTGTAATCTTGAGTAACACAGTATTCAGTCAACGTTCATATATGCAATGAAGAGAAGCAGATCAACTTTATATTTCTCACACTGAAGACTTCGGAAAATTTGTATCAGTAATACAATTGTATATTGGACAGTATCAATTGTGTTATCATTGCAGTTGCGCGGAATTTAAAAGAATTGGACTTTCGAGAATCCGACATTCTTTCTAATATAAGTATATAGTAATAATATAATTTTTATACACACGACCATTAAACGTATCAAACGTATTGCCTTATAAACTAAATTGCATTTTCTTGAAATAAAAGGCTGCAGATCACGACAGAAACTTTATTTAGAGCGATCTTTATACTGTTTACTCCCTGTAAAGCTGTACATTTTAAACAACAATTAAATTTTAATTAAAGATGTTTAACAACCTGAAAATGAATTGTCAGTTGCTTTGTTATTAGGATAAAGTGTGTAAACGACGGGTCTGTTTAATTTTCCTGAAACATGACATTTATCTTTATACCGAAAATTATAATATGAGCAAGGTACGAAATTTATTTACCGTTAACAATTTCGTTCTTATTTATGTATTTGATGAACGAAGTCAAATACACGTTTACTTTTGGAATTTATTATGTACTTAGTTGAAAGTTCTCCGCTAATTTAACATTTTCCTTCAGATTCTCGTATATTTGAAGGTTAAAATTCGCCTAAAATACACGAGTAGCATCTGGTATTAATTAATTTGATGGAATTCATACTGGGATGTTAACATTTTGAGACTTTTGCCAAATCAGAACACAGTTTATTAAGAATTAGAAAGAATCTAATTAAATAGTTGAACTGAAAAAACATTTGCGAACGAAAATTCTATTAAAGCATGACAAATGAAAGGATTTGAAAAATAATTTTCCTTTGCTTTACCGGTGAAAAAATTGATTATTAAAAAGTGATCATCAAGCCTACCGAAATTCTTGAATAAACCCTTACCTACCTGGCAACACGGCAGCACTAACCACAGCAGCTGATCGTCACAACTAGAGAATATTTATTGAAGATTTTTGGGGAAAAGTGAATAAATCACACTAACCGCGTTGAGAATCAAATAGAAGAGTTAATATGGAACACTTTGAGATTATTTATTTAAAAATAGAGCAATGCACAAAACTGCAGAAGAGAAAAACAACGCAGACGATCTGTGAAAAATAGAACTTCAAGGTGATCGATCTTGCATGTTCTGCGTGCTTGCGTTTTCGCTTGTTGATTCCCGGACAATGTTGTCAAACTTAGAAAATTTAGTATTTAGAATGAAAAATGACTACTGGAAGTTACAGAACCGATAATGAAGTCTCATTCACTTCTGAAAATGGAGTATAATTCACTTCCTTAGTTAACTTGAGGCACTGCAAAATCATATTCGTAATTAAACAATTAAGGGCAAAATTTAATAAAACAGTTTTAACCATCCCAACGCAAAGCAGCTCATTTTCTCAAAATTTTCATCAGCTTTCAACACATCTCTGACATGTTTTCTCAATTTCTTAAAAAAAAAAACAGATATAATTTGTATTTACTTTCAGCTATATTAATTTAGTAAAATATGAATAGACCCATCATGCACCATGGGACAACAAAATTACTATTCACAATAAACACAAATCGTATATTGCCACTAAATATCCGGCATGATACATACGAGCCTCCTCACTGACCGGATATATGCCGTCTTGACTCTGGGTATTTATGGGGGGATTGCCGCACACAAAATGCATTATTACACTGCGCTTTATGTATGCATCTAGGGACAATGGTCTTCCATTTAATTTATGAACTATAAAAATATTAATAGTTTAAATATTCTCCATATATGTAGTCAAGCTGCAAGTTCCCATATATTTCAAACCGATGATATAGTTGACTTTTCAATACATGAAGCAATTTTATGTTGTCTATATTAGTACTCATGTTATATATGTATTCATGTTATAGATTGAATCGAACTGTAGATTGAAAATTGCAAATGAAGAATCACAAATTAATAAATAGTTCGATAGTGGATAAATAAGTCATCGGGTATGTTCATTTAGAAATACTGAAAACCATTATGGAAAACTGCGTGTTTCAAAAACGCATTGTTCTAAAATAAAATTATCAGCATACAACTCAACTTCTATAGTTAGCAGCAAATTTAGCACAATCGTTGTTTCCTCCGTTTTAAACAAATAATAGTTTCTCCTAAGGAAATGAATAAATGACTTTTGAAACAACTGACCTACACTTAGGAAGCTCTAGCTGTAGCGTTCGTTAGTTCAAACAAATTCAGTTCGACGAAAAGGATTTTAGAATAAACCTTAGTTTGCTTGCTAAATGAAGTTTCGAAATAATCACTTCAAAGCTCGCTAATAAAACGAGATTGGCAATGTTTGAATATGTAGAAAAAAACCATTCAATCGAAAAAATATCCTGTTCGGGTATATTAAAAGCACATTTTTATTAGACACGTTTTTCAAATTTCATTAGTAATTTTGCTATTATTGTGGCGGTTAATTGCCAAATGAATTTTTATTTTGCGTTGTACGTGCCGGGTATAAATTTTTGTTTTATGGGTCAATTCAACGCGGCTCAATTAATGACAATAATAAACTTCCTAGATGTTTGTTGACATATTTTGTTTACTGATATTAAAATGTTTTATAATTTATAGCGTTCAATTCAATGATTGAAATCTAAATAAGGCAAAATTATTTAGAAAAGTAAACGAATTGAAAAAAATTTAAAAAATTCTTGAACTAGTAGATTCAGCAAAATTTTTAAATGTCCTAATGTTTTTTGCTTAAATCCCGAAAACAACCATAAATAACGGCATATTACAGCTGCATGACTACAGCCTATTAACGTTCTACCAAAAGTTCTTTACCATAACTGTCAAATTAATCTAAAAATACACTGTGGTTCTTTAAAAATTATTTGTATAAACACACACCCGACGAAGAAATAAACAATGAAATATTGTTTTTAAAATGGCCCTGTTTTAGAAGGCACGAATATTTACTGCAGGTGAATTGCCTGTGGTGACGTCCGCTTCGAACGATTATGTTTCGTAATAAATTCCCTTTGTTTTTACCTGTAGCTTTTTGAAGTTCTTCTGGACACATTAAGACAATAAAAAAAAAGAAACCTGAAAGGGAAGGATAAAATGTTTCGACATAATCAAATCAAGGTTTAAAAATTAATTTAAATTTAGCTAGTGATGGCCCGAAGTCTTAGTTTTAGCGCCACTATGAACTAATTTATTCGAAAATATGCCAGTAAACAGGAATACGGCAGGTTAGTCGAATGGAAGAATGTGGTTAAATTGACTTACCAAATTACTCAATTCGAATAAAAGCCCTTTCCTTCGTTGTTTTATAAAATAAAACAAAACTTAATGTAAGATATTTAGATTTTACCTTTGTGTCTGTAAATTTTCAAAGTATAAATCCAATGTTGATAGCTAAGGTCAACTTCTATCAAATTATTCACATAAACCATGGTGAATAATATAAAAGCACTCACAACTCTCATTTCAAGCCAACCGTTGTTACTAAAAGTGTCAAGACTTCCTTTGCGGGTTGAAAAATTAATGAACTTTCTAGAATCGCTTTATTTCTTTGGTTAAACTTGAAAGTGCAACAGCTTACTCCCGCATATGACTGAAGAACAGTCCTCTAAAGGGACGATTTATTTATTAGGAAAGCAACAAAATCTGCATTTTATATGGGATGAGTTTCTATCGCCTGGTGAATAAGTGATTCATTATTTATGTGCTAAGATTAATTAGAAAAGGTAAAATGCTGCACAATAACACAATTTTTAGAGCCGGTCTAATATTAACGACTTGTGCGGAATTGGCAATCGAAATGATCAGATGTTGGGTTCTTTTGTATGGAATAACCGCCTTAATAGCGAATAAATTTACAGTTTTTCAAACATCATTTAGCGATAATTTTGGGCAAAGTTCCTTTGGATTTTCTACCACTTATTATATTCCAACTTGCTGAAGAACTTCCTAATTTTTCAAATAATTGTATACATTAGCCCGCTCGATAATTTGGGCGCAACTCAACTTGACCACCTACATCACCCGATCTTACTACTGTGGATTTTTGTATTTGGGGTGTATGAAGCCGTTGGTCACTGGTTTATAAGAAATTAATGCTATTAGTTCTCTTAGGTTGGTTTTGTGATAGATTTGTTATCAGTTCTTAAATTACAATAATAAAAAAATGTCTGAAGCAATTAAAAATCGGTCAGTAGTCGGTTCTTGAAAAAAGTTAAACATTTTCAAAATTCCAATTAACACAGTCATTTGTGTTCTGTTAAAAAAATATATATTAATACTTTTCACAAGAAAAAGCGGCAAAAACTTTTTTATAGGCTTTAAACACCTTATAAAACTATGTTGATGGTGATCGATAGTTGATTATCAACAATGAGTTTTAGATTTGGAAGACCTAGGCACAAAAAATCGTTGTCGTTGGAAGGGTAGAGTAAAAAAATTGTATACTATATGCATACAAATGGACATAAAATCTTTAAAATTATGAACCCATCATCATCACCAACCATAGCCATTAATTTATCCGTAGTTATTGGGTTCCAACGCAAATAATACAGTGTTTCATCAGTTGTCAATCTGAAAAAGTATGTTTCCACATTATACTAATAAATTTGATGAATTGAAGTAACCAATCCATGAAATAATTTATTACAATCAAAGAATCACTCCTCTTTCACTTTCTTATCAAGTACATTTTCCGGTCTAAGAACCAAAAAAAATTTTGAGACACCTGTGCCGATATCCAATCAAATTAAAGTTCATTTTTCAATTTTAGATAAATATCAATACATTTTAGATTTGAATTCCATTTAACCTTCAAACCGTCTATCACTACTGTTGTAATTTCCATTAAACAAACATTCAAAGTGACAAAAAGTACCACACAAATCGAGAGTGAAGAAAAATTGTATGTTTCAAAAGCGAAAATTGAATTAACGCCCAATCTTCGAGCCATGCATTTTTTATTTTTGCATTTTATTTTAAGTACACTGAGATGAAAAATTTGACAGAAACTGTTCAAAATAATTTAAGCAATTAAACATTCAAAAAGGCATAAAGTTTTCCAACTGCCGTCGACTTTCATAAGATTCTTTGTATATTACAGCCTATAGTTCAATGATTTTATACGTAGGTGTTTTGGAAACATGGTGGAAACGTTGTCGCTTTGCAAGCTTTCCCATGTAGGTTTCGAATTTGTTCCAGGTCAGTTCAACGATTGTCGTTAACGGATAAATTATTCAACTGTAATTTGAAAGAGTAGTTGAACGTTCAATATTTTACTTCGCAAATAATGTATGTTGTGGCTGGTAAGTAACTTTATCCAAAAGCATTATTCATTCGGTTGTTTTGCCTGCATTTGAAAGTTTTATGGCGAAGAAAGATATATCACGATGTCTTTGAACTGAATTAATACATTTATTTAACTTACTATTAAATAAATTTATAAAGTAAACAAAATTATGGACAGACGGTAGATAAAATAAAAAAAAGGCACAAAGAATAGTTCTTGCTTCTACTCTTTTAATTTCAGTTTTAGTGTTATAATAAGTCCTGCAAATTGGAAATCGTTTATTTGAAAATAATTGTAATCAAATTAAATTGAAATGCATGCCCTTCGATCATCATAGTGTTTCCTCAGGTATTTAATTTAACAAATTCAAACCCAATACATACACATCGCTATTTGCATACCAGACTGTATTTCGCATACCGATGGCTGCAACTCGTGGAAATGTTAATCCCGCATGAATTATATCATATTATCAAATCTGCACTAAGTTTGCCGATTTTACAATATCATTACGATGATGAATTACATTTTGAAACCCAATGACCTGAATACTGTTCATTCTGGTTTTTCGCTCCGATATCGCTAATAGCAAATTGGAAGTACGGAGCGTTTAAGGCGATAAATACATTGAAGACTACAATTTCAAGCCGCATTTATGGTAATTGCGTTTCGAGAAAATATTAAAGCGGAAGCATTAAACATACAGTGAAATAAATTATTCCAATATCCAACCCTTAAATTAATCAGTAATAACTGATATCAGCGTTAAATAGTCGGTAATTTTTATGGTCTGCTTATTTCAACGATTAAATTTCTGAAAAACGAATGGAATAATGAGGTGCTTTATGTCATTTATTCCCGACTCTGCTAAAACTTCCAAAGCCAGATCTAAAATGGGTAGCGCAATGAGAGAACACTGAAAATTGTAAAAAAAGTGTGATTGGTCATCAAATTGCGTCTTCAGATTTCTATTAACTCG